CTCAAACACCTTAGTGAAAAAAGTTAGTAAATTCGTAAGACAGGAACGCCCCTTTGTAAAACCGTGTTGAGAATCATTAATCAATCTGTGCCTCTCAAGATGGCTACGATTGCTTCGGCAATTATTGATTCCATAAATTTTCCCACTATGGAGGTAAGGCTTATTGGTCTATAGTTCGAAGCCAAGGACCTGTCACCTGACTTGTAAATAGGTATTACATTTGCCATTTTCCACTTATCAGGCACTATTCCAGTTTGTAGTGATATGTTAAAAAGATTAGCCAAAGGTATGCTAAGTTCCTCTTTACATTCCTTTAACACCCTTACAAACAGTTTATCAGGACCTGGGGATTTGTTGGGTTTTAGTTTCTCTATTTGTCTGAGGACCATGTCACCAGTTACCGCAATCGTACATAATTTATTATCATCCTGTTCTATATAATCTATTATTTCAGGAATATCGCTAGTATTTTCCAGGGTGAAAACTGAGAGGAAGTGTGGATTTAGAATTTCACACACATCCTTATCACTGTCAGTGATGTGACCAGAGTTACTCTTAAGTGGGCCACTCTTGTCCCTAATCTTACTTCTGTATACCTGAAAGAACCCTTTTGGGCTAGTCTTTGAATCCCTTGCGACCTTAGCCTCATAATCCCTTTTTGCTTTTCTTATTCCTTTTTTTTATTTCTCTCTTTAATTGAATATATTGATTTCTTAACTACCCATCCCCTCTTTTGATACGCCTATACTTGTGCAAGACAGGTATACAATACCGACAAGATGAAAGTTAAGACACTTGTGCAACATCTGGTTATGTAAAGTAAAAGGACACAAGTGCAACTAATGTGATATTTGTCACATTAGTTGCACTTGTGTCCTTTTACTTTACATATTGTCGGTAATTCTACCAACTTTATTACAACATCTGGTTATCTTTATTGTAGACGTTTCGCCATCCAGTGGCTTTATCAATAAAGATAACCAGATGTTGCACAAGTGTCTTAACTTTCATCTTGTCGGTATTGTATACCTGTCTTGCACAACTTGTCAGGCACTGCAACATCATGGTATCTTGATTCAGAGGACATCTACATGACCTTCTTCACGACTTCTACAACTAGCCCATCAATTTGGGAAGGACCTACTTCCACTGGGGAATCCCGCCTACCAGTGACTATGCCCTCGTCTGCTACACGTCCCTCTTCACTGACGCCTATATAAGCGCCAGTCTCTTTACCTGTGCTTCAAAATCTCTACAACCACGGTGTTGTAAACACCACCTCCAAGGCTGAGGGACTGATTACCTCATCTTTTGTATATAGTTCTTCTGTTTTCTAATTATGTCTCTGTATTGATAAAGCCACTGGATGGCGAAACGTCTACAATAAAAATAACCAGATGTTGCACAAGTGTCTTAACTTTCACGCCTATACTTGGTTCAAAACACCCTAACACTCACTTGACATCTCCCAAAACCTCTCTCCTCTAACCTTTCCCTTCTCCAGGTTCTTAGACAGTTATTATAACTCATTTTTCGCATGCATACTTTACTTTAATCCACATAATCCTTGAATTTAAACATTTATATTCCCTCTTCTCCTGCCTTCAACATTACTGATACCCCTTCCTTAACTCTAACTCTCTGAGATACTCTTGACTTAATCTCATTTATTTTTACCCCACTGAAACTTCCCTACCTCCTTCAGCTTTGTTTCATTTAGAGGTAAGACATCCATTAACAATCATCTCTTTCTTATTATCTGCACTACATTCACACACATTCAAACATCCCAGTTTTTCCTCTTATTTTAAGTAATTTATACAGGAGAAGGGGTTACTAGCCCATTGCTCCTGGCATCTTAGTCGCCTCTTATGACACACACATAACTACCGGGGAAAAGATTCTTCTCCACTTCCCCATGGAAATGAAAGGAAATAGATAAGAACAAGACCTATTAAGAAAATAGAAGAAAATTCAGATGGGTACATATACATCTACGTGTATGTGTATATGCAGTGTGACTTTAGCGTGAGGAGAAGTAACACGATGTCCCTGTTTTTTGCGTGTTTATAAAACAAAAAGAAAGACACCAGCAATTCTGCCATTATGTAAAACAATTACAGGTTTCTGTTTCACATACATTTGGCAGATCGGCAGTACCTCCCGGGGCTTTGCTGTCTACCAAACCTACTACTTGCCAATATTGTGTTTGGAAATTCCCTGAATTCTGCATTCCAGTGAGGTTGTGCCAGAAAAAACGTCTTTCTTTCATATTTACCTTAACTATACATAAGTAATTACGATTTTCAAACTTTCTAATCTTTAATTTCTTTTCATCAGACGGAAGAAAGTCGCCACAAGTGGTAGCTTTCTCGCGGAATCTTTTTTTTATTATTATCACACTGGCCGATTCCCACCAAGGCAGGGTGGCCCGAAAAAGAAAAACTTTCACCATCATTCACTCCATCACTGTCTTGCCAGAAGGGTGCTTTACACTACAGTTTTTAAACTGCAACATTAACACCCCTCCTTCAGAGTGCAGGCACTGTACTTCCCATCTCCAGGACTCAAGTCCGGCCTGCCGGTTTCCCAGAATCCCTTCATAAATGTTACTTTGCTCACACTCCAACAGCACGTCAAGTATTAAAAACCATTTGTCTCCATTCACTCCTATCAAACACGCTCACGCATGCCTGCTGGAAGTCCAAGCCCCTCGCACACAAACCTCCTTTACCCCCTCCTCCAACCTTTCCTAGGCCGACCCCTACCCCGCCTTCCTTCCACTACAGACTGATACACTCTTGAAGTCATTCTGTTTCGCTCCATTCTCTCTACATGTCCGAACCACCTCAACAACCCTTCCTCAGCCCCTGGGACAACAGTTTTGGTAATCCCGCACCTCCCCCTAACTTCCAAACTACGAATTCTCTGCATTATATTCACACCACACATTGCCCTCAGACATGACATCTCCACTGCCTCCAGCCTTCTCCTCCCTGCAACATTCATCACCCACACTTCACACCCATATAAGAGCGTTGGTAAAACTATACTCTCATACATTCCCCTCTTTGCCTCCAAGGACAAAGTTCTTTGTCTCCACAGACTCCTAAGTGCACCACTCACTCTTTTTCCCTCATCAATTCTATGATTCACCTCATCTTTCATAGACCCATCCGCTGACACGTCCACTCCCAAATATCTGAATACGTTCACCTCCTCCATACTCTCTCCCTCCAATCTGATATTCAATCTTTCATCACCTAATCTTTTTGTTATCCTCATAACCTTACTCTTTCCTGTATTCACCTTTAATTTTCTTCTTTTGCACACCCTACCAAATTCATCCACCAATCTCTGCAACTTCTCTTCAGAATCTCCCAAGAGCACAGTGTCATCAGCTTGGGTGAAAATAAGGCCCAGCCTTGCTGGTTTATTACTCCCTCTTAATTTCATCGGTTCATTATTATAATTAGTAATATATTATTATCATAGTTATTATTTTTATTATATTCACGGAGAAGCGATAGCGACCGAGGATCATACAGCTTCAGAATGAAAGGCATTCATAATAAAGAGGGTAGCTCCAATTCCTTGGGTCAAACGCACTTCACCAGCATCAAGGCACCTGCTTGAAGGGCCGTCGCTTTATAATATTCTATCTTAGGAAGTTCTTCATTATTGAGCCTAGTAGATTCGTCTTTCATGTCTATGGGAAACTGTGTGCGCCCAGGTTTTCCAAATCTATTTCTATTGTTGAGCTCTCATTTGTTTGGCCTTGACTATTTGCTTTCTCTGTAATTTTTTTAATGTACATAATTCGCTGCATTATTAATCATATTTATTACTGGCTCGTTTGTTATTTAGAGGACTGTGGTATATGCCACCCACAAATAACCTGAGTCCCACCAAAGTTTTATGAATGCTACTTCTCTTCCTGTTCATTTTTATCTCCCTTTTCTGTATGCAATGAGCTTCCGGAGATAATTACTTCCATAAATCACATCAGTTAATGTAGCTTCCATAACTGTTATGAGGCCTAGGATTTCCTCTATTTGTAGAAAGTCAGGTGTGGTAGGTACTGTATCCCTATATGGCCACCCCACCCGCACATTACATACCAGGCATTAAAGTGCCCTAGAGGGATAAAATGCATATACAGTACATTCATTACTTACCTTAAAATATTTGTAGTCTTAATGTAGGGTGAGAGGTAAGTAAACGAGATTAATAATTTGAACGAATAAACGAGAGAGAATGAGTATATGAGAGAGGACAGACGCGAGTTATGTAACATAGCAGCCGAACAGGTAGGGTTTTTAGTTCACTCCTGCGAGCAGACTAGAAAAATATCTCATTTATATTAATTTATTCTACTGTGGGTGTATTTATCATGTTTATATGTGACGTACCATGTTTATTATATAAGTGTGAAAAAATATCATAGATGGATTAAGCAAAATGTCTATATTAACGTTATATACGACATTTAATGCGCCTCAGAGTGTTTATCATTGTGTGTTATTATTATCATTATTAACATGGCGTCTTCAAGACTAATAAGACACTCTTAGTTATTTTAATGTGTACCTGCATGCCAGCACAGTGTGTAAGTTTACTTTGGTACAGGTACACATATGTATAATTATCAGAATATATATAAAATATGAAATAACTTTAAAACACCTGAAATTTTGGAAAGTTTCCAAACATAATGGAAACACGGTGCTCACGGAGAATGTAAATAAACCGGGTCGCACGCCGTATTAGAAAGACGGGGAGCCGTTATAGCGAGTTTTGGTCATAATTTGAAATCGCCGTATTAGCGGAATACTGCAAGGCGAAACTCCGTAAAGTGGGGCCATGCTTTTTTATCCTATGTGTTCATGTACGTTACTTTGATATGTTAGTGTCTATATGTTTTATTCCCATTTTTAATATTCTGTATCTCCTAATCCTAATGACAATATTACCACAATTATCAGAAGCAACTTTTACAGGATAACCATGGATGGGATTAAGATTAGTAACACCATCAACAGGGCAAAACACCATCAATAACACTGTCAAGAGAGTGGCATCAACGAGACAAACACCATCAATGGAAGTAACACCAACAGTTGTAACAGCAACAGAAGCTCCGTCACCAGTAAAAATACCAAGAGAAATGCCATCACTTAACTTTCTTAGAAATCATAAAAAAAAAATTACATTATTTACAGTCAGTAACTACAGCAGCAACACCAACAGTAATATTAATAACAGTGATATCAACAACAATGCAAGCTGCATCAAAGACATTACCAACAACACAACCACCCCTACTTCCATCAAGAATAGCCAGACAACGACCATCACTCCCATCACTATCATCACCATCAGCAGCAATACAAGTAAAATGATCAACATAAAGTAAACTAAAGCACCATCCACAAAACTACCATCAACCTGTGTTACATGGGAAAGTACTGATCTCTTCAGTTTCAACACAAAAATATGAAAATTAATTAAATTGACGCTGTATGTACTAAACTAAAGTTAATTTGTTCACATCAGTAAAAAGTTTTTACTTGAAAATAAACAACAATGGGTAACCTTTGAGGCTATTTTTTTAATTAATACAGTACAACACACACTCATCATTGTACCCATGAACAAGTGGTATTGATCAATAACAACAGTGCGACTAGCCAAGGAGTCAAAAGCAGCATGGGTTCGACTCCTTGGCTAGTCGCAGTATTGTTACTGATATACATACATATATATATATATATATATTATATATATATATTATATATATATATATATATATATATATATATATATATATATATATATATATATATATATATATAGGATGGGGTCCACCTCTGGTGTAAATTGTGGGACCCATAGCCTCGGAGAAGTGGATAAAAAGGCTTCAAGGAAGTATATATATATATATATATATATATATATATATATATATATATATATATATATATATATATATATATATATTATATATATATATATATATATATATATATATATATATATATATATATATATATATATATATATATATATATACATATAATGAAGGAGGGATGTTAATGTTGCAGTCTTATAACTGTAGTGTAAGCGCGCCTCTGGCAAGACAGTAATGACGTGAATGATGGTGAAAGTTTTTCTTTTCGGGCCATCCTGCCTTGGTGGGAGACGGCCGATGTGTAAATAAAATAATATAAAATCCACTTTAAAATTTGAAGATGTGGGTTATTATACACAATGAGATTTATTAAAATTACATTATTCTTATTGAAATGGTCGTTTTAATGCTCCTTTTTATTATGTTTTATGGTAACGCAGGACAAGACATTCAAAAGTCCTTTAATTACTATAATGTCCCTCAGATTAATATGATTAGACAGAAAAGGAGTAAGAACTAAAGTCATGTTTATATAGAAACAGTACGCTGAGGTCAGTGGTCAGTACGCTGAGGTCAGTGGTCAGTACGCTGAGGTCAGTGGTCAGTACGCTGAGGTCAGTGGTCAGTACCTGCCTAAGCTCTTGTGAGTTAGCGTGAGCTGTTACCAAGCACCATGGCTTGTTGTAGTGCTTTAGAATCCCAGGTTCAAGTGTTGAAGAAGGAGATTTTACTTCTACAGGAGGAAAATAGGAGGCTGAAGCTTCGCATAGATGAATTTGGGAGCGATTGTGAGAAGGATTTAGCTGGTAAGGTAGGAATGGTCACCAGCAGTGATAGTGGCAGCCGCTTTAAGTGGCAAGTGGTTCACAGTTCAGGAAGAAGGAAGATGAGGAGAGTTAATAGAGAAGATGTGAAGGTAGGAAATCGATTCTCTGTTCTCCAAGACGAGTGTACTTCAGTGGTTAGTGAGGTTGAAGGTACCACTGATTTCCCTGCTAATCAAGGTAAGAATATTTTAATAGTAGGCGATTCTCAGGTAAGATATATGGACCATGCATTTTGTAACAGAGGCAGAAAAGTCAGACAGAGTGTGTCTTCCTGGAGCTGGTGTTGGTGACATAGTCAGCAGGTTGGATAATATTATGGCAGGTAATGAGGTAAAGCCCATTATCTGTCTTAGTGCTGGGGGTAATGACATTGGGAAGAGCAGGAGAGAGGAGCTAGTAGATAAGTACAGGTCAGCCATAGCAGTAGTTAGGTCTAAGGGAGGGATCCCAGTCATATGTAGCATCTTGCCTAGAAAGGGAGTGGGCAATGAATGGATGTCTAGGGCAATTGGTATAAATTGCTGGCTAGACAGGTACTGCAAGGAACTTGCAATCCCGTTCATTGATAACTGGGACCTATTCTTTGGCAAACGTGATATGTATGCAAGGGATGGGGTTCATCTCTCTGTGGATGGAGTAGTTGCATTAGCCAATTCAATTGAGAGGGTAATTGATGACTTGTCTAAGAATTTAAACTGATAGTTTATAGGGGTATGGGTGTTTGTGGAAAACAATCAGGCTGCAGCATTAGGGTTAAAAACAGCAGTTATTACCGGGATACCTCAGGAATATGTTTAAAAGACAATATTCAAAATAAAGTTGCTAGTAATGGCAAATCAATTGATCAACAAACAAAGAGAGATAGCAGAGGGTAACGAGTGACTAGCTCCCTTAAGGTTTACTATACAAATAGTAGGAGTCTAAGAAATAAGATAGATGAGCTAAAATTACTTGCAAGTGTAGGTAATGTAGATATTATTGGTATAACAGAGACCTGGCTCAACCTGAAAGATAGAGAAATGCCTTTTGAATGCAACATACAGGGTTATAAACTATTCCACACTGATAGGGTCAACAGGAAGGGTGGTGGTGTGGCGAAGTATGTCAGAGAAAATTTAAATTGTCTTAGACATGATAAAAGATTAGAAACATCGAACACCGAATCTGTTTGGCTACAGTTTCTCGAGGGACGTGACAAATTAATTTTGGGTGTGATTTATAGGCCCCCAAACCTTGATAGGGAGGGCAGTAAGCTATTATGGGACGAAATTCATAAGGCATCTAGATATGAAAATGTGTGATAATGGGAGATTTTAACTTTAGGCAAATTGATTGGAACAATATGACAGGAAATCTTGAGTCTAGTGACTTTCTTGATACGGTTCAGGATTGCTTTTTAGAACAGTTTGTGACAGAACCAACTAGAGGAAACAATCTGCTTGACTTGGTTCTTGCCGACAAAGAGTCACTAATTAATAATCTTGAGATTAATGATGAGCTTGGGGAAAGTGATCACAAATCACTTAGTTTCAATATATCATGGAATTACCCAGATAACTGCAATCAAATCTCTGTCCCAGATTTTCGCTTGGCTGACTTCATGGGATTGAAAAATTACTTGGGTGGGCTAAATTGGTATGTCCTGACTATGGGTCAGGTAGGTGATCTTGGTTGCCAATATGACGTTTTTCAGAGCATAGTTCTAGCTGCCCAGACAACGTTTGTTCCGAGTAGGGAAATTAGATCTAACAAAAATGATCCCATATGGATGAACAATAGATTAAAACATCTCATTGGTCAAAAGAGAGGCATATATAGGCGTATCAAAAGAGGGGATGGGCAGTTAAGAAATCAATATATTAAATTAAAGAGAAATAAAAAAAGAAATACGAAAAGCAAAAAGGGATTATGAGGCTAAGGTCGCAAGGGATTCAAAGACTAACCCAAAAGGGTTCTTTCAGGTATACAGAAGTAAGATTAGGGACAAGATAGGCTCACTTAAGAGTAACTCTGGTCAGATCACTGACAGTGATAAGGATATGTGTGAAATTCTAAATACCTACTTCCTCTCAGTTTTCACCCAGGAAAATACTAGCGATATTCCTGAAATAATAGATTACGTAGAACAGGATGATAATAAACTATGCACGATTGCAGTAGCTAGTGACATGGTCCTCAGACAAACAGAGAAACTAAAACCTGATGAACTGTTTGCAAGGGTGTTAAAGGAATGTAAAGAGGAACTTAGCATACCTTTGGCTAATCTTTTAAACATATCACTACAAACTGACATAGTGCCTGATAAGTGGAAAATGGCGAATGTAATACCTATTTACAAGTCAGGTGACAGGTCCTTGGCTTCGAACTATAGACCAATAAGCCTTACCTCCATAGTGGGAAATTTTATGGAGTCAATAATTGCCGAAGCAATTCGTAGCCATCTTGACAGGCACAGATTGATTAATGAATCTCAACACGGTTTTACAAAGGGGCGTTCCTGTCTTACGAATTTACTTACTTTTTTCACTAAGGTGTTTGAGGAGGTAGAATGGTAGATCATGGTAATGAATATGATATTGTGTATATGGACTTCAGTAAGGCTTTCGATAGAGTTCCACACCAGAGGCTACTGAGGAAACTTAGGGCACACGGAATAGGAGGAGAAAATTTTCCTGGGTAGAGGCATGGCTGACAAATAGACGGCAGAGAGTTTGCATAAATGGGGAAAAATCAGAATGGGGGCACGTCACAAGCGGTGTTCCTCAGGGGTCAGTGTTGGGCCCGTTGTTGTTCACAATTTACATAAACGACATAGATGAGGGAATAAACAGTGACATAAGCAAATTTGCTGATGACACCAAAATAGGCCGTCCAATTCATTCTAATGAGGACACTAGAGCACTCCAGGATGATTTGAATAGACTGATGCAATGGTCGGAGAAGTGGCAGATGCAGTTTAATATTGACAAATGCAAAGTTCTAAATGTTGGACAGTTAAATAACCATGCCACATATTAACTAAATGATGTAGATCTTAATACTACTGATTGCGAAAAGGATTTAGGAGTTCTGGTTAGCAGTAACCTAAAAGCAAGACACCAGTGCATTAGTGTTCGCAATAAAGCTAACAGAATTCTTGGCTTCATATCTAGAAGTATAAATAATATAAGTCCTCAGGTTGTTCTTCAACTCTGTATATCCTTGGTTAGGCATCATTTAGACTATGCTGCTCAGTTCTGGTCACCGTATTACAGAATGGATATAAATGCTCTGGAAAACGCACAAAGGAGGATGACAAAGATGATCCCATGTATCAGAAATCTTCCCTATGAGGATAGACTGAGAGCTCTGAATCTGCGCTCTCTCGAAAGGCATAGAATTAGGGGGGATATGATCGAGGTGTATAAATGGAAAACAGGAATAAATAAGGGGGATGTAAACAGCGTGCTGAAAATTTCCAGCCATGACAGGACTCGCAGCAATGGTTTCAAGTTGGAAAAATTCAGATTCAGGAAGGATATAGGAAAGCACTGGTTTGGTAATAGAGTTGTGGATGAGTGGAACAAACTCCAGAGTACAGTTATTGAGGCTAAAACGTTGTGTATTTTTAAAAATAGGTTAGATAAATACATGAGTGGGTGCGAGTTGGACCTGACTAGCTTGTGCTACTGGGTCTTGTGCAGTGCTCCATCCTTGAGTGGAGATGGCCAGGTTGGGTGGGTCATTGGGATAATCCGGGGGGTGGGTTATTGGTCTAATCGGGGGGGGGGACATGGACCTGCTCCGCATGGGTCAGTAGGCCTGTTGCAGTGTTCCTTCCTTCTTATGTTCTTATGTAGACATGTTAGAGTCCCTCTCTGATGTCTCACAATTTGTCTTGTTTAAAGCGAAAACGACTGTGTTGTTTAACTGCTATGAATATTATCACTATACTGTAATACACTGAAAGTTGAAGATTACAACAAATTAATATACGTGTAATAAGCAAATATTAATTTGTTATTTTTTTGTGGAAAAATCATTGGAAAAATATAATGATGACACTACAACTACACTTAGGCAGACGAGCTCACTTTATTCAAATTACTGTTTATCTGGAGAACCAACGAATTGGTATACCTGCAACAAATTTACTAATTTTTTTTTTTTGATAACAAACAAGCTCGTGGTAGTCTAAACTCAAAACTAAATACTAGAAATCTGAATATTTTTATATATATATTTTTTAACAATCTTATGAACGCCTCAAGGTATTCAAAATGGTCATCCTTATTGTTGCATTAGGAAGAAGAGGGATGATACTTCATTACTAATTTCTTAGAGTCGATATTATAGATTGTCTTTAAAACTAATACACTTTGCCGTGGCTAATGCTATGCACTACATAGATTATAAGCCTTCTGTCTAGTCTGTGAAAACTAATAAAATAATAATGTCCAATTTTGTGTCTTATTTTTGTTTTTGGCAATTGTATTTATGTCAAGTATCTCACTTACTGTACAACAGAATCTATAAAGTTTATTTTAGGCATTGGCAGCATATATTTGTCATTGTTTGCTCATTTTATTTTATGCCTCTAAAAGTACTCATAAAATATTATGTATTAGGATCTTTATTCTTGCACAATTTTTCAAAATAACTATCTGGTTTTCATACTTTCTTTAATTCCGGAGAAAACCAAAAATATTAAAATTATATCATACCACCTTTAGGTTATATCATACGTATTTTTACATATATCCGTTAAGTACTTTTAAAAATAATAATTCCTTTCCTGAAAGCCGTATCTCTAATAGTATGTGAATTATTGACAATCTGGAACTATGTTTTATCCAGTTAATTTCAAAATTCATGTGAAATGCAATACAGAGACCTGGTCGTCAATACTTGAGATACAACACAGATCTGGTTGAGTAGCTTAGGTCTTGATGACCAGGTCTGTGTTGTACCTTCGGTCTTGAACAGTGTGTGTTTGATATCAAGTCTAGACCTAGACCACGTGTTTTGTATCTCATGTCTTGTCGACCACGTCTGTGTTGTATTAGGCCATGACGACAACATGTGTTGTATCTCAGGTATTGTCGACCAGGTTTGTATTGAATTAGGTCTTGAAGACCAGGTGTGTGTTGTATCTCAGGTAGTGTCGACCAGATCTGTGTTGTATTAGGTTTTGTCGACCAGGTGTGTTGTATCTCAGGTATTGTCGACCAGGTCTATGTTGCATTAGGTCTTGTGGACCAGGTGTGTTGCACCTCAGGTATTGTCGACCAGGTTTGTGTTGTATTAGGTCTTGACGACCAGATCTGTGTTGTATTAGGTCTAGACGACCAGGTGTGTGTTGTTTCTCAGGTACTGACGATCAGGTATTAGGTCCTTATATTTCAGGGATACCAGAGGTCTTGACGACAACGTGAGTGTATGTAGCTGCTATTATTATTTGCTTACAACAACGCTTGTTTTAACCGCGATAACTATCAAAACATGAACTTTGAAAATTTAGAAAGACGAAGAGAAATAAAAAACAAGTTTCAGATATACACGTGGCACTGAAAAGGAAATGAGAAAGTACGTTGCCAGTTAAATATATTATTCATAATTTAAAAACTGTACATGCATTTTCGAAAATGAGACGTATTAATGGCTTTTAAATGCAAAGAGAACGATAAATATGTCGACTCTTGGCAGACTGGCTCAAATATATGTACATACTTACGGAAACATATTTATCACTAAGTTTTACGTCGCGCAGTCCTAGATAGCAGAAAGAATGAGACCTTCGAATAATTAACGCTAGAAAGTTTATAATTTAGGATAACCCAAGAAAGCCAGGGTAGCTTATTTCTGCTGGAGTCCTTTTCCCCAGGATGCCACCTACAACAGCAGAATAACTATTTTCTGCTAGGCGAACAGGGACAGCAGGTCTCTCATCACTCAGGATTGGAACCTGGCTCCAGTTCAGTTATTAGAAGAAGGATCTACTACTGAGTTATAAGACCTGGCCTACTATTGAAGGTAATATTAGTTACTCGAAGTGCAGATGAACTGATCTAAGATCATGAAGTAATACAGTTGTTTTTCAGCAATTAATAATTATAGAGGACCTAAAGAAAACGAATTAAGCAATATTACTAGGGAGGAGGCCGGGTCACAGACCGGGCCGCTGGAGCGTTGACCTCAGAAACCCTCTCCAGGTATACATATTTATTAAGAAATAGTTTTCAGGAGTACTTAAGAAGTGCAAGGCGGAATTTAGTGAGCCGCTACCTAGCTTTTCAACATATATCATCAAATAAGTGTCATGCCGGAGACTTCAAAAATGGCTAATGTAATTACTGTCTTCAGATCAGGAGATATAAGTCCACAATATTAAATTACCTCCCAATAAGCCTGGATTCAATAGTAAGCAATTGATATGAAATGCTAAATCTATGCGGGTCATTCAGAGCAAGGAATGGTGGACGCTACGGACAAATCATTAAAATCAATAATAACTGAATAATAAGAAGTCACCTTGAGGAATATAATTCGATGAAGATTTGAAAAAGCTAATATCATGGTCCGAAAAGTGGCAGATGTTTAGTGAGGAAAGGTGCAAATTCTAATTCTCAAGAATGAAAATAACCTTCATATGTCCTTTCACCTAGCTTTAACCTAACTTATGAGATACTGCATCTATGTTTCGTTTCCATGATCTTTAACAAGGCAATGCAAACAACTCAAAGACAGAAAGTATATAGGAGAGACGTTAACTCTGCTGTTATGTGGCAGCAGAGTCATGCTTACCCTGCTGTCATGTGACAGCAGGGTTAACATTTTATGGGGGATAAGTGCTAATATTTCAGAAAGGAAGCTGTCTTATTTTTATAATTGTGTCTGAAATAGAGCGTCATGGTGCTTTAAGGCATTATCTTCTGCGACCGTTTGGCTCATTAATCACTAAGGTATCATTCCATCTCATCAAGCGGCTGTTGGTGTTCCCGTGATGCACACATGCGTTGTTCAAGTTATCACATGTGTTATGTGTAAATATGTTCGTTCAGACTTGTTCCTAGGTTCGTCACTCAGTGAGATGGAACGACGCCTTCTTAGAGATTAAGGCACCAGAGTTCATATCGAGAGGTGTGTCTTGACAGCTACAAATCTTTCAAAACAGTTTATAAACAAAAGAAAATATTCTCAATAAAAGCATTTCGACCTCACAGGTGAAGAGTTGTTCAGGGTAAAACCGAAATATACCGTACACATACTTGACTATCTATATAAGAACTATTATTATTTGGCTATATGGTTTTCAGTTTTTGAACACATGTAAAAGTGTAACACATAAATTGAGGTTGGCTATAAGTTAGCAGCCTGTCGAAAAGAGATGAATATCTCTCGGTTGACAACTACACCTGCCCATATTCCGTGTGACTCACTCATCCCTCCCTATATATATACCTATAACTACCTAGAACTTCACCTCACTACACACGTTTCTGCGGTACAGCAAGACCTCAGAAGAGCAGTAGCAGTTATCAAGAACTGTCAGAACTGATTCCTAGCGTCAACATGTGGGGACATCTACAAGTGATGGTGTTACTGTCCGTGGTTGTTATCGATACTGCCAAGGGCACATCACCAAGTATGAGTGTAATTCTCGATTATTTTTATCTTAGCTTATTCTCCTGCTTATCTATTTAGGGACATTTTTGTTTGGTCCGATTTCTCTGTAGGGAACATATGTTGTTTGCGCAGCTTGTAAAATATTTTGGAAAATGTCATACTGACAGTCCTGGTCATTACTAATTGTAACGACCAGAATTGTGGTATCTATACCTTCTATGACGCATTTTTTCTAACAAAATGTCTTTTCTATCCGCCTTTCTTGTTTTTATCAGTGTGGAATAATTTAAACTAATATAATTGATATTCGGCAGGAATGTCCTAATACCTCACATTAAAATATGTATCATTTATTTGCAATAATTTCGATTTCCTATACATGTCATTAATATTAATGATACGATTTTATGTTTATAAGACGCTTTGGAAAGTCTTTTCTGTCTTTTCCCTCTGAATATTTTTATTTTTCATTGTAATATATTATTAGCTTTTATCATTCCCCGTCACACAGTTTCCATATTGGAAAAACTGGTCAAAGCATTAACTCCCAGTCTTAAAAGGTATGCTCGTTCAATTGAGGGCAATTTGCTCAAATAGCCCTGGACAGCCTTTCGTTATCCATTCTCATCAGAGACAGAATTTCTCACATTACAGTTAATTTTAAATTTAATAACTTAAACGGCAGCGCCAAGTACCTCGTACCTGCAGTTATGTGGTCAGGTGGAGGAGCTGTGATATTTTAACAACAGTTCAATCCTCAGAAAGCAGAAAGCAGTTCAGTCCTCAGAAATTTTACAATGTTGTATCACACATATATTATTATTAACATTAAACCCAACATTTGTGAATCTAAAATGACATTCACTCATCACGACAAAGTATCCATAAAAATTGTCACAATTTATTGTTTAATTTGTAATAAATTCATTCGTCTTTTTTTCAACCTCAAGAGACTTGTGCCACATTAATCATGAACGAATTTTGCACTCTTGTAAATATATAGTTAATCCTTAACAAGCATCAACATTCCAGTAACAAAACCGTCAATTTCTGTAGATAAATTACTTAATGCCTTTTTGAGAATAATTTATATTCATAAAGCTTAACGCATAATTTAAGAGTCTGAACATTATTTCCCAGCATGCAAAACTACCCTTTCATGTTTGAAGAAAGGGGGACATTGTCAACAACCCAGCTGTAAATATTGGCCAGCGATTAACGCTTCTTGTGACAACGGTTGCCAGTGTTGTCGTGACTACCCTTGCAAGATCTCGTTGTGTACCGCCGCCAAGGGTCGTTGTGTTCCAAACAAAAAGTTCTGTGTTAATGGCACACTGAACAAGACACTCTGTCCAGGCCCCGACTGTGGTTCCTGTTGCATCCCATAACGTAAGTCTCTCAAATTCCTACTGAATAATTTAATTATATAATAATGATCATTATTATATTCATATGAAGGACTAAATCCATTTAGGTCATTCAACGAATATAGTGGTTGAAGTTCGATCATCCGTCAACATAATCGTGAGATAGATATGCTACTCTGCTAACAGGGTTTTCCCTGGCTGAGAGAGAGAAGGAGAGAGAGAGAGAGAGAGAGAGAGAGAGAGAGAGAGAGAGAGAGAGAGAGAGAGAGAGAGAGAGAGAGAGAGAGAGAGAGAGAGAGAGAGAGAGAGAGAGAGAGAGAGAGAGAGAATTTTTAACCACAAGGTATTAATAGACAGTTACTAGATTTAAACTTTTTTAAAGCTGTTATATTAAAAAATAAAGCAATACCAAAGTGAGTCAGTCAGCGCACTATCTTGAATGTGATATGGAAAACTTCTGTGATTTGCACTATCAAGCGTGATGGTCTTCATTTTTCCGTCAACACTTAAGAACATAAGAAAAGAGGAAAACTGCGGTAGGCCTGTTGGCCCATACTGGGCAGGTCCTTCACAAATCCAACCCACTAACAGAATATTTGCTCAACCCACTTTAATTCTACCCTAACAAGCTCTGATAAATCCACTAACTTATATGCAAGTCCCACTCAAATCCAACCCCTCTCACTCATGTATTTATCCATCCTAAACTTAAAACTACCCAAGGGTTTAGCCTCAATAACCTTGCTAGGCAGGAAAAAGACACTTATGTACAGTTCAGGACATTTATTAAAGGAAACGTTTCGCCACGAGTGGCTACTTCAGTCCTAAAACCTATTAGGACTGAAGTAGTCACTCGTGGCGAAACGTTTCCTTTAATAAACGTCCTGAACTGTACATAAGTGTCTTTTTCCACATCTTGTCGGTATCACCATACTATTTCCTCCTTGCTAGGCAGACTGTTCCACTCATCAACTACCCTATTTCCAAACTAATAACTTCCTATATCCTTTCTAAATCTAAACTTATCTAATATGAATCCATTATTGCGGTTCTCTCTTGGAGGAACATCCTCAAGACATTATTTATATCCCCCTTTATTAATACCCATCTTCCACTTATACACTTCGACCATGTCTCCCCTCATTCTTCATCTCACAAGTGAATGTAATCTAAGGGACTTCAATCTTTCTTCATACATAAGATTTCTAATGCTATGAATTAATTTTGTCATTCTTCGCTGAATGTTTTCTAACGAATTTATATCCATTTGTAATATGGAGGACGAGAACTGAACTGCGTAATCTAGGTGAGGCCTTACCAATGATACATAAAGCTGTAGTATAACTGTTGGACTTCTGCTGCTTACTCTTCTTGATATAAATCCTAGTAATCAATTTGCCTTATTACGCACGCTTAGGCATTGCTGTCTTGGTTTAAGGTTGCTGCTTACCATAACCCCTAAGTACTTTTCGCATTCTGCGCGGCTAAGTTCTACATTACTAAGCTGATATGTGCTAGGGTTATGAGCATTCTCGAAGTCAGGTTATTCTTACATTCATTATACAGTTCATGAATGTAGATGTATTTATGAATATGTTATACGTAGAGGAAGAAATCGTGATAAATCACACATACTCTCTCTCTCTCTCCTTTTTTTTTTTGTTTTTTTTTTTTTGTTTTTATTTTTTGTTTTTGTTTTTTACACAGGGTTTGAGAAGGTTAAGGATCCCTAGTTTTATTGACAAGCTATTTACAGGTTAAGGATTCCTAACTTTATTGGCAAGCTAAGAGCTGTTACCTACATCAGCTCATGTTAAAGCATTTTTATTGTTATGAGACATACAAGAAGGGAACAGGATGAAGTTGGAGCCATCATTTTCATTTGATCAACTCACTTTATCTCGTTGACATCATTATACTGTACGAATGTGTTCCATACTCGAGTCATCCTGGGTATATATGATCTCAGATGGAGTGATGTTCTGGAGAAGGGTACAGCCAGAGTGAAGTTGCTGCTTTCTGCCCGTCTTGTGGCATAAAAGCTTGTTTCACGCTGTCCTCGAAGTGGATCCAAGTGTGGTACTTTGACAATATTGGCCTTGTACATAACAGTAAGGCCATCAACATCCCTCCTGTGATGAAGGCTCTGCTGAAATAGCAGATTTATCCAGGATTGGTCCAGGCGAGAGATGAGACGATTGCTCTGTTCTCTACTCTGTCAAGCAGTCGCAGATGAGACGGGGGGGGGGGCAGGCAAACCAAGAAAGTGGAGTATACTCAAGGTGTGAGCGTACTTGTGCCTTGTACAGAATCTTGCAACCCCTACTGTCAAGCAGATGTGAGATACGGCGAAGTGCTGTAAGCTTCCTGGCTGCTTTGTTTGCAAGATTTACAACGTGGTTCTTCATGGTCAGTTTGGAGTCAAATTTCACCCCAAGGATATCATCTTCCCCAGGTGCCAACACCCTCCCATTCATCCTTACTACTGCACCAGCATTACCATCATAGTGCCTAGAGACCATCATCATTTGCGTTTTCTCAGGTGCAAATGTTACTTGCCATCTATTTCCCCAAGCTGATATAGCTCTTAGCTGGTGATTATGTAGCTTAGAGCAGCTGGCATTTCTTCTCTTGGATAAGCGAATGTCAGTGTACAGTCGTCTGCATATGCATGGGATTCTGGGATGAGATGAAGGTCATTGAAGTAGACATTCCATAACAATGGTCCCAGCACGCTTCCTTGTGGAACACTTGCCCCCATAGGATGTCTCTTGCTGATTCCGTTCCACTGAGAACTACCATTAGAGATCTACCATGAAGGTAATCACTGAGGAGACATAGCGTAGAGCAGTGTTTGAAGTTTTGCTAAGAGGCCCTGGTGCCACACCCGGTCGAAAGCACCAGCAATGTCCAGTGCTACCGCACAGCTGACTTTGGATTCATCCAGTGACTGGTGCCACTTAGTGGAGAGGTTTAACAACAGATCAGCAGCAGGGCAACCTTTCCTGAAGCCATATTGACGGTCACAAAGTAGTGAGTGGTAGTCAAAAAACTCTGTCATTTGTCTTGAGATTATTGTCTCAAGGATCTTACCAGTGACTGACAGGAGTGACACTGGTCTGTAGTTGCTGATCTCTGCTGTGCTCTTCTTTTTGCGAACAGGGACTACATTTGCCTCTTTCCACAGAGGGGCCATTTACTTTCTCTCTTCTCTCTCTCTCTCTTCTCTCTCTCTCTCTCTCTCTCTCTCTCTCTCTTCTTTTCTCTATATATTTTTAAATATATTATTTTATATTATGTTTTGGTAGATAAAAGACTGTTGAGTAGACTTCAGGTTTGTACATGTTTATAGAGGGCCACAGTTTATATCAGATCATTTTCTAGTTGTAGCTACACTGAGAGTAAAAGGTAGATGGGATAACAAGGAGAATAGAAGCATCAGGAAGAGAGAGGTGAAGGTTTATAAACTAAAAGAGGAGGCAGTTAGGGTAAGATATAAACACTATTGGAGGATGATGGGCAAATGAGAGCATAGGCAATGGGGTCGAAGAGGTTATGGGGTAGGTTAAAAATGTAGTGTTAGAGTTTTCAGCAGAATTTTTGTGGTTACAGGAAAGTGGGTGCAGGAGGGAAGAGGAGCGTTTGGGTGGAATGATGATGTAAAGAGAGTAGTAAGGGAGAAAAAGTTAGCATATGAGAAGTTTTTACAAAGTAGAAGTGATGCAAGGAGGGAAGAGTTATGGAAAAAAAGAGAGAAGTTAATGGAGTGGTGAAGCAATGTAAAAAAGAGAGCAAATGAGAGAGTGGGTGAGATGTTATCAACAAATTTTGTTGAAAATAAGAAAAAGTTTTGGAGTGAGATTAACAAGTTAAGAAAGCCTAGAGAACAAAATGGATTTGTCATTTTAAAAATAGGAGAGGAGATTTTATTAAATGGGGAGTTAGGGGTATTGGGAATGGAAGGAATATTTTGAGGAATTGTTAAATGTTGTTGAAGATAGGGAAGCTGTGATTTCGTGTATAGGGCAAGGAGGAATAACATCTTGTAGGAGTGAGGAAGAGCCAGTTGTGAGTGTGGGGGAAGTTCGTGAGGCAGTAGGTAAAATGAAAGGGGGTAAGGCAGCCGGGATTGATGGGAAAGATGAAATTTTTAAAAGCAGGTGGGGATATAGTTTTGGAGTGGTTGGTGCAATTTTTAATAAATGTATGGAAGAGGGTAAGGTACCTAGGGATTGGCAGAGAGCATGCATAGTTCCTTTGTATAAAGGCAAAGGGGATAAAAGAGAGTGCAAAAATTATAGGGGGATAAGTCTGTTGAGTGTACCTGGTAAAGTGTATGGTAGAGTTATAATGAAAGAATAAGGTAAGACGGAAATGGATAGCAGATGAACAAGGAGGCTTTAGGAAAGGTTAGGGGTGTGTGGACCAGGTGTTTTTCAGTGAAACATATAGTGAACAGTTTTAGATAAGGTAAAGAGTCTTTGTGGCATTTATGGATTTGGAAAAGGCTTTATGACAGGGTGGATAGGGGGGCAATGTGGCAGATGTTGCAAAGTGTATGTGTAGGAGTTTAGGTTACTGAAAGCAGTGAAAGTTTTTACAGGATAGTGAGGCTCAAGTTAGAGTATGTAGGAAAGAGGGAAATTTTTTCCAGTAAAAGTAGGCCTTAGACAGGATGTTTTGATGTCACCGTGGTTGTTTAATATATTTATAGAGGGGGTTTTTGTAAAAAAGAAGTAAATGCAGGTTTCTTGGCAAAGGCGTGGAGTTAAAAGATAAAGAATCACCACAAGTGGGAAGTTGTCACAGCTGCTCTTTGTGATGACACTGGCTTTTGGGGAGATTCTGAAGAGAAGTTGCCGAGATTGGTGGATGAATTTGGTAGGGTGTGCAAAAGAAGAAAATTAAAGGTGAATACAGGAAGGAAAGGGTTTTATGAGGATAACAAAAAGATTAGGTGATGAAAGATTGAATATCAGATGGGGAGGAGAGGTGGAAAATGGAGGAGGTTGAACGTATTCAGATATTTGGGAGTGGACGTGTCAGCGGATGGGTCTATGAAAGATGAGGGGGATCATAGAATTGATGAGGGAAAAGTGTGAGTGGTGCACTAGGAGTCTGTGGGGGACAAGAACTGTGTCCTTGGAGGCAAAGAGGGGAATGATGAGAAATAGTTTTACCAACGCTCTTATATGGGTGTGAAGCGTGGTGTGATGAATGTTGCACGAGGAGAAGGCTGGGGGCAGTGGGAGATGTCATGTCCGAGGGACAATGTGTGGTGTGATATAATGCAGAGAATTCGTAGTTTGGAGTTGGAGGAGGTGCGGGTTTCCCAAAACTGTTGTCCAGAGGGTGAGGAAGGGTTGTTGAGGTGGTTCGGACATGTAGAGAGAATGGAGCGAAACAAATGACTTCAAGAGTGTATCAGTCTGTAGTGGAAGGAAGGCGGGGTAGGGTTTCTGCCTAGGAAGGGTTGGAGGGAGGGGGTAAAGGAGGTTTTGTTTGCGAGGGCTTGGACTTCCAGCAGGCTGCGTGAAGCGTGTTTTTAGGTGTAAAGGGAGACAATGGTTTTTAATACTTGACGTGCTTTTGGAGTGGGGAGCAAAGTAACATTTATGAAGGGATTCAGGGAAACCGGCAGGCCGGACTTGAGTCCTGGAGATGGGAAGTACAGTGCCTGCACTCTGAAGGAGTGGGGTTAATGTTGCAGTTTAAAAACTGTAGTGTAAAGCACCCTTTGGGCAAGACAGTGATGAGGATTTGATGGTTGAAAGTTTATCTTTTTCGGGCCACCCTGCCTTGGTGGGAACTCGCCCCGGTGTGTAATAATTAAAATTTATCTATATATTTATATATATATATATATATATATATATATATAATATATATATATTGCAACCACGAACGAGTGGTATTTAATCAATAACAACACTGCGACTATCCGAGGACTCGAACCCATGTCGTTTTGGCCCACCTTATGGTGAGAGAAAATCACAAGATGCTCTAACCCACAGGACCACACAATCCTACAAGAATCAAGCACCCAGCAGAGGTAGGTGTTTTACCGTGATCCGAGGACATACGGTGGTGCGGGTGCCTCAGAGCCAATTTCATTCTACTCCCCGTTTGGTGTACCAGCCTCCACAAGCAGTATGTGGTTATAATAATGTATATACTGCTCGTTGGGCTAGTACAATAAATGGGGAGTAGAATGAAATCAGCTCTGAAGCACCCACACCACCATATGTCCTCGGATCTCTGTAAAACACCTAGCTCTGCTGGGTGCGTGATTCTTGAATTATTTTGTGGTCCTGTGGGTTAGAGCATCATGTGATTTTCACTCACCATGAGATGGGCCAAAACAACATGGGTTCGAGTCCTAGGCTAGTCGTAGTGTTGTTGATACATATATATATATATATATATATATATATATATATATTATATATGTATGTATGTATGTGTGTGTGTGTGTGTGTGTGTGTGTGTGTGTGTGTGTGTGTGTGTGTGGGGTGTGTTGTCGTGCCGAATAGGTAAAACTTGCGATTTTGGCTGAAATAGCAACGCTTTTCTTGCTGAATAAGACAAGCGAAAACTTGTGTATGCAATAATTTCGCAAAAATCATTCTGAACATAACGAAAAAAAAAATTCATTGTATGTGTTTAATATTAAATTATTGAAAACTTATCTAAAATATATTTAGTTGGATTATTCTAAATTAAATTGAGTTTGTTATAATAAGGTAAGTTTTCAAGGTTATTTTGGTATAAAATTATTAATTTTTACATTAACATAAATGAAAGAATTATAATTTTAGAAAGGTCTTAATTTTAAATGAGTTCTTGCTAATTGACTACTTTTACCTATTCGGCACGACATTATATATTATATTATATATATATATATATATTATATATATTATATATATATATATATATATATATATATATATATATATATATATATGCATAAATTGATAAGTAATCTTTTTAATATATATTATTTATACCCAGTAACGACAACGAAGACAAAAACAACAACGTCAACGAAGACAAAAACAATAACACCGCCAACTACAACAATAACGTCAACATCAACCTAAACAAACTCAGCAAAAACAAGAGAATCAACATCAACATCAACAATATTAACATGAACATCAACAGGCGCAGCCACTCAATAACAAAGAGGAAGAAAATAAGAAATAATATAAGAGCTTCATATCCCCGCTTCTTACAGTAATGTCATGGACAGCTAAACTTTGATCACCACAGAGAGAAGCAGAACCATTAAACAAGAAAAGTGTTACCATACCAATATTAACACTGTTAAACGGAAGAGTTAAAAAAAACTAAGGTCGCCAACAAAAACAGCAGCAGCAACTCAGTAACGCTAAACATCACTACTGTCATTAACAGTTACGATGATTACGAAAAGAAAAAGAAAATCACCAGCGTCAACAGCCTCATAAAGTCTATCTACCTCTGTTGTTAGGTAAGACACATATGCAACAGTTAGGTATCTTTATTATGAAACGTTTCGCCTACACAGTAGGCTTCTTCAGTCGAGTACAGAAAAGTTGATAGAAGCAGAAGATACTTGAAGACGATGTAATCAGTCCATCACCCTTAAAGTTTTGAGGTGGTCAGTCCCTCAGTCTGGAGAAGAGCATTGTTCCATAGTATGAAACAATATTGTTTCATACTATGGAACAATGCTCTTCTCCAGACTGAGGGACTGACCACCTCAAAACTTTAAGGGTGATGGACTGATTACATCGTCTTCAAGTATCTTCTGCTTCTATCAACTTTTCTGTACTCGACTGAAGAAGCCTACTGTGTAGGCGAAACGTTTCATAATAAAGATACCTAACTGTTGCATATGTGTCTTACCTAACAACCTGTCGGTATTTTATACCATTTTAATGTTCTATCTACCTCTACCATTACAAAAAAAAAAAAAAAAAAACACTAGACACAATACTAATTACAGTACAACTATCTTTAACAACATGGAAAAAAAACTTAACACTTTACGAAATAAGATGTGCACTAGCACCACCAACAGCAACATAAATAAAACTTACCACAACTACTACCAGCACCATAACAGCTTTACCACCAGCACCATAACAGCCTCACCATCACCACCACCATCAACAGCTTCACCACCACCATAACAGCCTCACCACCACCAGCAACAACACTGTAACATCTTCACCACTACAGTTAACATTAACATAACAGCCTCACCTTCAAATAAAAGTATGAACTCCATTACCAATAGAAAAAGAAATCCGTATACTACCACCACATGAAGTGTCACCACAACTACCAGCATAAGTCACCATTACCACCAAAATGACAAAGTGTCAGCACTAACAATATGAATAATACCAGAAAATCTACACAGGTTTCCATCAGTTAAAGGTCGGTTGTGGCAGCTACAAAATTTCTATAAACAATGGCTGTGTTTCTCTCATTCAAAGAATAACCAACAACACATATAAGGTTTCACATCTAACGAAAGACCAAAACTGACGTTGCATTTACTCATCATAAGTTACTATAAATATATTTTAATCTCCAAACACTAAAACAAACACAAATGATAAATAAAAAAAATATTATGTTTAATAATGCTAAAATTTTGAATTTTGCTTCCTAGGGTCACAGCGTATCTAGTACACAAACTTCATTAAGTCTTGATCCATGTAGACACTATTATATACTGAAGTTACCAAAATAAGAATTAAAATAATCCGCAGTGTATAATATACACAGAAATGTCAACATATTGGTATAAATAACCTTGTTAATCATGACGATGTTGGTATTTTGTTTGTCAGGCAAAAATTTGTATTGACGCACATCTTTATTCATTCAGGGACACGTAAATAATTAAATATCACATAAAAATATTTTGACGGAAAATTATCTACCCAATATAAAAGGAAAACTGGTTTATCTACCCAGCAGTGTCCAAGGATGTGCTAATAAAGTCATCTTTAGTTATATTTTCTGACTGTTAACACTACTGAAGAAGCAAAAATGAATGCTTCTTGAATTACCGTGATCGGACATACGTAGACTACGACGCATGAAGTTCTTAAAGTGAACACTGACCTTTTGATGACGACCCTGGCCTGAGTATCTTAAAATGTTTATAGATAACTAGAGTCCGATGAACACACACTGACAGAGATATTCATGGTAATACGAACAATGTAACATGAACAGATAAATCACACCAGACACCATCTCTCTTTCTGTATTTCAGCGCTTACTAAGTATTTCCATTACATTAATGTATCAAACCAAAGAAATAAATATAAAAAAATGAGGAGAAAGAAAACACAAAAGGGATAAGAATTACATTAAAGTGTTTGACTATGGTCCAGAACACTTAAGGATTTCCCATTAACGTAGCTACGAGAGTTAGTAACTTAGAACATGAATTAAATATTACTGATTCATGGCTTAAATACATAATTTTTACTAGTATAATTAGACGTCAAGAAAGTGTCGTTCACAATCTGCTTAGTGTGATTTATATTTGACTTGTATGAGATATATTTTGAGTGTAACCAATATATGTTTTATTCTTTAGTATTTGATTTACAGTAACAAAATTTATATGATAAAACTGCTGCACTCTTTTAATTTGTTGGTTTTGTATACTTAATCAAAATTATTAAATGCATATTATTGACAGGGTCGTTGAAATGATGCCAAACATTATAATATATATAAATAAATAATATATATATATATATATATATTATATTATATATATATATATATATATATATATATATATATATATATATTATATTTATTTATTTAAGACATCCGCCGATTCCCACCAATGCAGGGGGGGCCCGAAAAAGAAAAACTTTCATCATTCACTCCATCACTGTCTTGCCAGAGGGGTGCTTTACAGTACAGTCATAAAACTGCATCATTAACACCCCTCCTTCAGAGTGCAGACACTAAATATATTTTAGAATGATTTTTGCGAAATGACTGCATACACAAATTTTAGCTTGCCTTATTCGGCAAGAAGAGCGCTACTATTTAAGCCAAAATCACAAGTTTTACCTATTCCTGAGGTTCACATCAAATGAATAACTGCTGTATCAAATGTGTTTCTGACAAATATCAGTAAGGTGTCATTTAAGACACTGTATATGGTGTACGTTAGACCCATATTGGAGTATAAAGCATCTCTATGGAACCCACATCTAATTAAGCATGTCAAGAAATTCTTGGAAGTGCAGAGGTTTCCAACGAAACTAGTTCCGGAGCTAATGGGTATGTCTAGTGAGGAGAGGTTAAGGGAACTCAGCCTGATGACACAGGAGGAAAAAACTAGTGGAGATATGATAACGTACAAAATATTGAAAGGAATTCTACTAATGAGCTGCGCCTCATCTCCCGACTGTGTGTAATTCTCAATACTGTTGCTTCAACTTCACATTGTTCCAGATTATGGACCAAATCTCTTCCTCAGGCTGAGGGACTGACCACCTCAAAACTACGTCTTCAAGGGTGATGGACTGACGACATCTACTGTTTCTGCTCACTCTTTTTCCCTCGAGGGAGGTTCCTTGACGCTGGTGAGGGGCTCTTTATCTAGGGAATTGGATCTGTGCTCCGGTTCCCTGAAGTGAGCCTGAATACCTTCCATCCCACCCCAACATGCGCTGTATAATCCAACGGGTTTAGCGCTCTCCCATGATTATAAGAATAATAATAATAATGCTCACTCTTCTGTACTCAATTGAAGAATCCTACTGTGTAGGCGAAATCCTTCGGAATATAGATACCTAACTGTTGCACATGTGTCTTACCAACTCGTCGGAACTGTATAACATTTTAATATTTACCTGATACCATGCAAAGGTTGCAGTCAAGTATACATCGGACAGACTGACCGAGTGTTATCAACGAGGATCATCGAACACCAGAGGACAATGAGATGAGAATTCAGCGGTTTCTCAACATGTTACCAACAACAATCACAATATTCACTGGGAAGCTACCGCCATCAAACACATATCACAATCCACCTACAAACTCAAAATTATATAATCTGCAGGTAAAATAGCAGAAACTGTTTTTAATAGATGGATACAATTTAAAATATATATATAACTTTAGCAAAGCGCATAATTTCAATGAAATTTGAAACCCAAGAATGAAAAGATTGAGATAAAACACTCACCTAATAATACTTCGAAGATTACAAAAAAATAAGATTTCTGATTTGGTCAAAATTATTCATAAATACTTTTCATAAAATTTGAGGAAATATGCTGGGAGGTTCACAGTCTGGAAAGTGCGATAGAAGGTGTTAGAATTTATTGAATTTTAGTAATTTTTGACATTTTTTTTAAAGCTTACCATATAGCCCTATATAACTGTCTAATCTGTAATATATTTATCAAACAACTTCCTTCCGCCTCCCCAAAATGAGTTTTGTTTGTGTTGCATTTCAAAGCTAACAAAGACACGTAATGGTAGACGTTTGTCTCAGTATTGAGCGAAACATCGTCTAAATAATAGGATTGTTCTAAATTTAAACGTTTTCAATCCCAAATGTAAGCTTGTTTACAGTCACTATTTCAAACCTTGTTGAAAGAGGTGTTTGTAACGTGTGCGTCTGAGTTGTAATGTTGCAACCACTTGAACTTCAGGTCACCCATTCAGGGATTCTACAGACACTTATTTGAAACTCTAGTTCCTGATCCCCAGTAATCCAATTTTTTGGGATCGATTTTTTTTATTTAAAGCCTGAGATTTTTGGGTTTAAACGAGAGTAGGTCACCTGAAGGAGAATTTACCATTAGGTTCTAGGTCCTGTGCCTGGTAACCTAACAATATACACCCAGACTACATCTTTTCCTCCAGTTAGCTTTGAGTTGGGCTCTAAATGCATAGGAGTGCAAGGTCGAGTTTAATGAGCCACTAACTAGTTTTTTCAATATATCGCATCAAACGAGTGTTATGATGTAGACGTGGAAGACGGCTAATAAGTCTACACTACTGAATTACTAATAAAGGTCAATGAGGAAAGGTACAAGTTCTAATCCTCATTAATGACAACAATCTTTACAGTTATATAAAGTACTAAGCTATTTTAAAGGACATATGAACAACAAATGTGACAAGGCATCTATGCTTCGTCTCCAGGCTCTTTATCAAGGCAATGCAAACAATTCAGACACAAAGTATATAAGGGGGGACATGGTGTGGTACAGCTAGTAAGAACATAAGCAGTATAGCAGGTCATGTTAGCAATAGTAGGTGAGTTGATTTCTTGTCACCTGACTGCAGGATTAACGTTTTATGGAGGATAAATGCTAATATTTCAGAAATGAAGTTGCCTTATTTGTGTAATTGTTTCTGAAATAGAGATTACTGATGTTTTAAGATATCGTCTGCAAGAGTTTGGCTCATTAATCACTAAGGTGTCATTTCATCTCATCAAGTAGCTGTTGGTGTTCCCGTGATGTATGCATGCGTTGTTCAAGTTATCACGTCTTATGTGCAAGTATGTTCGTTCGGAATTGTTCCTAGGTTCGCCACTCAGTGAGATGGAACGATGCCTTCTTAGAGATTAAGGCACCAGAGTTCATATCGAGAGGTGTGTCTTGCAGCTACAAATCTTTCATAACAGTTTAAAACAAAA